TACGGATAGCACTGTCACTATATCTTTGTACATCCATTTTGGTCGAGAGCCTGGTACTAAATAACGTCTGTCTAAAGTTTGATTTGAGCTTGCTTATTTATGAGTATGCTTTAAGCGTGCTTATTGCTGGCAAATGTGAACAGTTGCAAGGCATTCACTCAAGTCTAGAAACTTAGCCACGTGCATGCAGCGAGGCGCGGTGTTCGTGTAATTTTTAAGTTTAAAAAGAAGTAAATAGCAGTAATGTGATTAAAAATGACTTATAATAACGCCATTTTTTTGTAAATATGACGTGGAAGATCTCTTTTTGCAGCAAAAAATTGAACAATCCGCCATTTTTGTAGGACTTCGATTCAGCCGCGCACATTGAAGTGTAATGTACCGCACAACTAGATTGAGTCTGGCGAACACCAAGCAGTGCGGCTGCAACTAATTTCATTGTACGCATAATACATACAGACGTACTCAAAAAAAAAAAGCACGCTCATAAGCTTGCTTAAAATGAGCATGCTCTGCAACTGTTCACATTTGCCAGCAATAAACACTTGAGACATAAATTAACTTGTTCAATTTTATGAACAGAAAACCTCAGTTAACGAGTTCCACGGTTATTTTCATACAGTTACCGTTATAGATTATTAAAATCAACTGCTAAGCATAGGCCTCCCCCATAAATTGCCTTATAGGGGAAATATTTCTCATAGTCGCCACGTTTGGCAAGCGGATTGGTAACACACCATATTTTCATACCCATCCAGCCATCCATTACAGCCTATAAAAGACCACCATCCCTTGTTGAACGTAGGCCTCTCCCATAGATTGCCTTATAGAGCGGATTTTGCTATAGCTGCCACGCTCGGCTGGCGGGTTGGCAACCCAGTTTTTTTATTTAATTGAATTGTTTTCAGTAAGACGCTGCTGCCCATCCTCTGCTTTAGTTTCCCTCTGTCAGCTCTTACGACACCCACGGGACGATATTGGCTATTCTCACAGCGCCACTACACGGTGGAGGTGTATTGGTAACGGTACTTATTTTCATACACACCTATATAAATATCACGGATTTCTTCATCTTCTCGGCAAAACCTAGAATAAGCAGACTTATCGATAAGATTTAAACATTAACATAACTAATACTTTTCAACCCCATACTAAATTTAAGGGGGGGGGTATTGTTACAACTTTTTTAGTCACGTTAGCCTCAAATTACAATTAAATTGGGGTAAAAGTAGCTGCATGAATAAGTTATGAACCTTAACACAGAACGAAATATATACGCAGGTGACAAAGATCGGTTCACAGTGACACATCATTACAGCCCTTTACAAGTCCACTGTTGAAGATAGGCCTCCTCCAAGTAATGCCACAAAGCACGGTCCTGAGCCACCTGCATCGACTTACTGCATGTCTTACCAGCTCGTCACTCGTCACAGTGAGGGGAGGGACGTCATCCTACATCGTCTACCGGTACGAGGCTGCCACTCGAGACCGTTTTTTCCCCATCGGTTGTAGGTTCTTCGAGATATATGGCCGGCCCATTATCACTTGAGTTTACTAATCCGTTGAGCTATGTCGGTTACTCTATTTCTACTGTGGATATCCTCATTTCTAAGTTTATCACGCAGAGAAACCCCGAGTATAGCCCTCTCCATAGCTCGCTGAGAAAACTTGAGCTTCCTCATACGGCCAGCAGTGAAGGACCCCGTCTCAGATCCAATAAGTCATCACTGGCAGCGCGCACAGGTTATTCAATCTCGTAGTCAAGTTTTGAGGTACATACCTGACGAAAAGATTCGAAATTTCCCAAACGCTGCCCAGCCTAGTTGAATCCGTCAATTGAACTCTCGGTCAAAGTTGGATTTACCAAGTTTTGTCCCAGGTAGCAGGTGCTCTCAACCGGCACAGGTGTGGCTGGACGTTACACATGAACTACAGTTTGTCTAATGATTGTCACAGTGATTGTACTTACCGTAATAGTTTGAGCAAGAAACTCCTTTTAGGTTTTCGGAGTTAAAAATCAAGGAACCCTTATAGTTTCACCATGTTTGTCCGTACGTCCGTCCGCGGTTTTACTCATAGGTTAAGTCTTTCAAAAATATTGGTATTGGTAGTAATCGACCAAGTTATAAAATGCACTTGGATTAATAAAAATTTCGTTGCAATTACATTTCCATAGAAAATCACTTAAAACTAGCTGCATTATAACTTTGTTATTTTATTGTAAACTGGAAAAAAAATTTTTTTAGAAGAATACGAGAGATGATTAAGAAAGTGAGTTTTATGAACATTTGTTAGTTCATTCAGCAGTGCAACGTTACTATTATTATTTTTTAATATTTCTAACTGTTCCAGCACACACAGTCGCAGCCATTAAATACAAGTATATAAGATTTTAAAGGAGTGGGAATTGGCTAGGTTGTGTCCATTGTCCGAGAGATGTCTAGCAAAATGGCATTTATAAGGATTGCAATACCTGTACGCGGCTAAATGCTCTTTATTATGTGTTTAGAAGTTGCGACCAGTCTGACCACAAACAAGTTTGTAGACACTAGATTTCGACGGACCATCTTTACATTTGTTATTACAGATATTCCTAAGATAATTAATTGTTTTGTACGTCACGTAAATGCCGCTCAGGCGAAGACTGTTAGCTATTTTATGGAACCTAAGTAGGTCAAGCTGCTCACGTATCGACGAACTAGATTGAACCTCGTACAGATAATTGCGAATGATATGCTTTTGTTTCTGTTGTCTTTACTAAATAATTTTATTTACTTAATAAGTTAATGGCAAACGATTAAAATAACAATAAAATTTATGTTGTCACGGAATGACACGATGGAGATGACCGTGTCGGTATGAGTTGGCTTCCGATAAATTTGGAGTTCATGTAACGACTCTTTTCTCTTTTGTTATTATTATGTCGAGTAAATTAAAAACAACCTTGTTCAAATTCAATCTTAAATTTAATTTTGCCGTGGATTATATTTATTTCATCAAGGAAAAGATCAGTTTTTATTGTTATAATCGTTTGTTTAGCGTGCCAACTAGGCTCTAGCAACTAGGAACTAGGATAGGATTTTTTAACATCGTCATCACGTTCTACTATTGATTTATAAATTCTAATTGACTAATTAATAATTTTGTTCCTCTATCTACTCATAGATGACATTTTCATCAAAAAACTATCAAAAGGAAGATAACTTCAGTAGTTATAAGAAACATATAAAAAGATAGAGAGAAAAAAAAAGATATCCAAGTTAATTCACGTGTTATTCTAAATCCTGCAGTATAAAAATTACTGGCCTCCTCTCCTTTCTGAAAGGGTTTGAGTGCAAGCCTGCGGTATATGGGCTGGAAAATGTTATGCGCAAATATTTTCACTTAGTGCTCACTACTTCGCCGCTATAGGTAGTCTATCTCTACACTAAAAGGTCGAAAGATTATATAATATTGAATTAAAATTACCTGTAACTCTCACATTTTAGTGAAAATAGTAAAATAGTATGATTATTTTCTGCATAATTAAATTTATTAAGTAATAATGAGAACCGTGTAGTGGCGGTGTAAGAACCACTATCGCATACATCCCATGAGTGTAGTGAGAGGCGACAAAGGGAAATTGAAACACGTGATGGGAAGAAGCATATTCCTGAAAACAACTTAAAATAATATTTATTTCACAATTTATGTACACACAAGTAAGGGAGAGGACACATCACGATAAAAAGTTTGTACATAGGCTCTACTTATCTCACAATGAAATTTCTTCTAGTAGGCCAGTTTCAAAGATATATGAATAATAAATGATTATAAGGTGTGCACTTTGTTATTATACAACATATATGGGGATAAAATAAATACATACGTCAGCCCAACTAATAATAAACTGCGGTTGGCAATCCGCTCGCCAAGGGTGGCAACTATGGCAAAACCAAAATCAAATTAAGCAAAAAAATATGAGGCAATATATGGGGGAGGCCTATGTTCAGCAGTGGACTTTTATAGGCTGTGATGATGATGTTGAATGGGATTTATTTTTATTTATGGAAAACTTACAGCTAATATTTACAGTAAATAAAAGAATAAAAACTAGGAAGGCAATTTAAATGTTTTGACCCATAGAAAATATGAGTTTAAAAACATTAATTATCGTCGGTAAAAGATTAACATCTGTTAAGACAAAAACAGTAAATTAACGTTTAACAGAAGAACTCTCAACAAAAGATTCAAGAAACACTGGTATTAAACAGATCCAAGTTAACACTATTGGAAATCCCATAAGTCTTGCATACACGCATCATAAAAATTTTTGCCTGTATTTAATCCGGGTCTGCGGCATATGGAATAAGCGAAGTTTTCTTAATAGGGTAGCTCTGGACGGTCAACTGTACCGTTTGCCAATTTAAAAAGATAAATAATATCTGCTATGCAGCTACGTTCGTCCACAGGCAAAATATGAAATTTCACACCGCGAAATATAGTTATCAGTGTAAAATTGCGTTTTAAATTGCAGAAAACGTAAAAAACGCTTTTGAATTTTCTTAATCTTATCTGTATAAATGTTCTTGTTTGGGTTCCACACTTGAGTGGCGTATTCTAAATGGCTGCGAATAAGAGCGCAATAAAGTATCTTGTATTTTTTTTAATTATGAAAAAATGTAAAATATTTTAATATGTGAAATTTATTTGGGAAAACCGTGAAAGAAGAAGAAAAAAGGAAGGTAGTAAGTGAAAATATGAATGAAATACACAGTTGACACGTTTTCCTACTTTTTTTTAAGTGCAAAGGTTTCTTCGGAAAAAAAAATTTTGTTATACATGATAAATGATTGAAATTGTTTCATTTTAAAGATGTATTTATTGTTTTTTTCTGTTTTACTTTTACATCAAATGTTGTACATTAAATGTTGTACATGGTTACAGTATAATGTTATTAGATATCTTATCAAAGCCTAACTTAATCTCTAAAAGTGCCTTTTTACAGTTCATAATAAATTTTAGGAATAATATGCAGGGTGTCCTTGAATAACCCATCTTAGAAGAAGTAATACAAAACATGCCATTACGAAGAACCACACCATAACACGAAGGGTTTTCTCGGATCGTTGATCACGTTCGCTAACACGTAAACGTTCGATGAGTCCGCTCTGAAAAGTATCAAAAAATATGACAATGTGAAAAATATGGAAAATATAAAAAAATATATATAACATTAAGTTTTATTTTAATTAGTACCTGTATCGTTAAAATATTATCGTAAAATTATTTGATCAATTGTTAAAATAAACATCACTAGTATTTTCTTCTGTTACATGGATGTATTTAAAATACATAAATTTCACAAGGAAAAACATCCAGACACGGGACAATCATTTGTAGTGCGTATAAACCTCATAAATCGTAATAATATTATTATATTAAATATATAATAATATTATATATTTAATATAATAATATTATAAAATATTATAATAATATAAAATATTAGAATACAGCCGTGGTAGCTCAGATGGTTAGCGCTCGCTGTAAATTTCACAATACGCGAGCAAACCGGGTTCGATCCCCGCCGGCACCAATGAAATTGTTAATTGCAATTTTAAGTGCTGATTTATCACGTGCTCGTCGGTGAAGGGAAACATCGTGAGGAAACCTGCTTGTCTGAGAAATAAGAAAAAAAATTATTTCGAAGACATGTGAAGTTCGCCAACACGCATTGGGGCAGCGCGGCGGACTATTCCTTGCCCTAAAACCCTCTCAGAAATGAGAGGAGGCCTGTGCCCAGCAGTGGGACGTATATAGGCTGTAACTTTACTTTTACTTTTATTAGAATATTAAATATTAAAAATATTAGGGCCGTGGTAGCTCAGATGGTTAACGCTCGCTGTAAATATAACAGAACGCGAGTAACCCGGGTTCGATCCCCGCCGGCACCAATGAAATTGTTAATTGCAATTTTAAGTGCTGATTTGCCACGTGCTCGGCGGTGAAGGAAAACATCGTGAGGAAACCGGCATGTCTGAGGAATAAGAAATAAATATTTCGAAGACATGTTAAGTTCGCCAACACGCATTGGGGCAGCGCGGCGGACACTTTCTTGCCCTAAAACCCTCTCAGAAATGAGGGGAGGCCTGTACCCAGCAGTGGGACGTATATAGGCTGTCACTTTACTTTTTTACTTTTATATAATAATATTAAATAATAATAATATTATATCGTAATAATTTATTACGATTTCTGTGGTAGAAATACTTGTTCCGTGCGGGATTCGAACATGCGGCCCTTAGCGCTGCAACTCATTACGTCACGGAGCCGTTAAATTCCACATTACGATAAAAATAATTTATTTATAAAAATAAAGGGTTTTACACAGTAATACTTTTTTGCAATATTTTTTTTGTAATGTTTTATATTATTATATCAGAATTTATTGCATATATTATGTTATAGAACTCAAATTAACTATAATGACCATTTTTGCTGGAAACGAGGAATATCACCTTGGTTCTCAGGGGTGGCGACGCATCGCATTTTGATTCTAAATGTAAATGTTTGGGGGCCACAGCATACACTAACCATCGGGTGGACTATGTACTCGTTTGTCACCATTTTTATATTAAAAAAAATTTACATAACGCTTTCGTCAATTCGCTTTCTTTGCACGTTTTATTCATAATGAAATCGCTCCTGAATTGGTAAATATCTCGAAAATTGAGCTGCTTAACTCCGGCAATTTCTTTAAAAAGTTTCGAGAAGATTTGAATAAGAATTATTTAATAAAATAAAAATGTACTTCCATTTTTATATTTTATACTATAAAAAAATTCTATGAATAGTTACGCGATGAAGTAGAGTTTTGCGTGTCGGCAATCGATAAATACCATTAGTGATAAATTGATGCTGGCGTTGATAAAGTAGAATTTAGGAGTGACACGCATTTTAATGTATTCGTATTTTATGTTCGTACCAAGATTTATCTAATGTGACAGAAAGAACTCACCCAACCACCGTGCGCTGCAATCCACGATCCAGGCTCTTCATGAAGCAAATCAGCAATTGCAGCTGCCGGTGCGGCTACTAACTCGAGGGCTGGCTCTCCATCTGATGCTTCCGCAGCTTCACGAGCCAAAGCTCCGCATACACAGTATACTGCTGCGATCTATAATTATACGAGTACAAGTATATCAGTCTGCAAATTTGGAAACATTTATAACAACTTGGTGTAGGTATTAGTAGGTATTTATACGTGGTAGAGCCATGCTGCAGCCATTTGGCTCGATCGGGGAATGACCAGACTATCCTATAGGTATTATATATCTAATATATATAATACCGGGGTAAAATAGCAGCTTAATGCTGCTGTGTTTCGTCTGGTGAGTGTAGAGAACCGGAGACCCGTTTTACTGGAATCGGGGCATTCTATCTTAGTCCTCAAGGGTGACAACGCATCTGCATTTTGATTCTTAATCGAGGTTAAATGTAGATATCTATGAGCCACAGCATCCACTTACCATCAGGTTGACCATGTGCTCGTTTGTCACCCTTATTCTATAAAAAAAGATAGGTACTCTTCAGAGGATTTTAATAAATTTGGTTAAATTACGTAAAAACACTTAAAAAAATTCAAATACCTAATCACCAAACTATAATTAGTAAAGTACCTTTGACCAGGTGATGTTTTCTCGTGTAATACGTCTCGCAAGGGCAAGAGCAAGTTCCGCCAGGGCGGTATCAGACCGCAACATCGTCGTAGGTGCCCGAGTCGCTTGCCGAGCTACATGTCGGAAAGCATCTGGTCGTTTCCTTTCTAGAGCAGCGCAGAGTGCACGTAATGCGGCCAGCACACCGTTTTCTGTATTAGATATTGCTTCCTCACCACACTCGGTTTCAAGCATTTGCTGCAGGCGTTTCATTACAATTTGCTAGAAAAAAAAATGTTTGTAAGTAAATTCCAACGCCTCGTTTTTTCTCCAGCTTTTTTTTAGAATATAGAATAAATTATATGTACCTTTTTTGGGCAAATTGACGATCTTCGAATTTGGCTTTTGATGTACTGCAAGCAAAGGGCGCGACCTTGCCTTACAATTTGTGGTTTGACTTGTGTAGGCGAAGCAAGACACCAGCCAATCGTAGCGGACAGACGTCGGGATACAGCAGCCGCGGCAGCACTTGATACCATTGTACTGAAGCGCCGCTTTGTGCGATCCAACGGCGACAGTGAACGTGGTGCTAAAGTTAATGATTACGCTAAATATTAATAGGGCCAAAATTTATTAAAATACTCTCACTACTAATTTACGAACATGGTTTTTAAGCGGGAGCACGTGTGGTTCACAATACCAAATGCCTTATGTAAAACGGTGTGTAAGATATTACGCCGACACTGTTCCGTTTGCAATCAAGTGGTGACGTCTACCAGAGTTTTATTGCAATATGATAGTATAATACCTACTTGTAATAGGTCTGGGAAAAAGTTTCTTTGTGTTGTTGAAAAATCTCTTTGGTTGTACTGTTTGCATCTGGCTGGTTTTAATATCAATACATATAGGACATTAGGAAAAAGAAAAATGAAAGTAAAAAACACTTTCCCACCATTTTCAATTGTTTTTATGTTGCATAGAGATATAATTCTAAGTCAGTGGCCAAAAAGAGTGAATCTAGCGAGGAAATTCGATTCGACATTCTGAACTTTTATACAAAAAAGGAAAAAAGGGAGAAATGAAAAATATCATGGTCAAACGGTAGTCACGCTCCACAGACTGTAGTACAACCTGGATTAATACGCAATAAGGTGATGCTGTGTGTATGGTAGGAATGGAAGGGCATCGTTTATTATGAGCTTTTACCGCCGGGCAAAATCATCGATACGGATCTCTACTGCCAGCAACTAATGAGACTCAAGCAAGACATTGTGAAAAAATGGCCGGGCTAATCAACAGAAAAGGAGTGATCTTACATTATGATAACGCCAGACCACACACATTTTTGGCCACACAGTAAAAATTGAAAGAACTTGGTTGGGAAGTGTAAAGTATTCAACATATAGTACTGACCTTCAGATATTCACCTGTTTAGGTCTCTTCAGAATTATTTGAGTAGTATTAGGTTTACATCAAGAGAGGACTGTCAAAATTACTTGACAGTATTATTTGATCAAAAATTCCAAGATTTCTACAGCAACGGGATTATATCACTACCTACAAGATGGCAGCAAGTTATCAAACAAAATGGCATATAAGTATATATTATAATTAAATATGATTAAACTTTAAAAAAATGTCTTGAATTTGTATATTAAAAACGAAGAAACTTTTCCCCCGGCCCATTACTTTAGAACTATAGTACGTGAGGGTAATATGGTCATCCGGTTAATATGGTCAGTTTCGAATAACTCAAAAACTACAGCCTTGTTTGCATAGATGGCTTTATGATACGATAGCTCTTCATCGATTAATCAAATAATAAACGGTCAAAAGGGCGCTGCTTCGTCGATGTCATTTTGACAGTTGACATTATAGTAAATATTTTAGTCGATTTTATTATTGTGTAGTGTAGTTAGTTTTTTTAGTAGATTTTTCGAAGTATTCTTAATTATTGCCAAAGCTTGTTTGCTATTTTTCTTTTTTTTTTAGTTATAGTATACGACTTTATGTTTTTGTCTCCGCCCTTCTCCTAGTTTTGGTTTTATAGTGTGGCAAAGCTTAAGGTGACCATATTACCCTCACGTACCATAGTGTCGCAACACCACGTTCTAAGTACACTAATACCCTTAATAGTGTCCCGTGCTAGTACACTATTACCCTCACGTACCATAGTGTCGCAATACCACGTGCTAAGTACACTATTACCCTCACGTACCATAGTGTCGCAACACCACGTGCTAAGTACACTATAAGTGTATAGTCTGGCTAAGTAATTAGCTATTAAATAATTTTGGTAAGTATTCCGTGAAACTAAGTTAAAATGTGTACCAGTTCATTTTAATTTAATTTATATCTTTTATCGAAATGTGTATTTTAATTGCATGCACGATTTAGCAATAATGTCGCTAAATACCGGGTCCACCAACAAAGCCTTCGACGGCGCTAGGTAAGCTGCTAAGCGGACTGCTCAGCTTCCTGCGCGGCCTCAGCGGAGGTACGATCTCATCATCTTCTTCGCCATCGGGTGGAGTGACATGTATTGCTATGTTGTTGTCCTCTTGAGTTTTCTTCCCACCCGATTGCCATCTTAAATCCGTTAATGGCCCTATCTGAAAAAATAAATCTACATGAGTGTTGCTGTATATTTTCTAATAGATACTTAATCTTTATTATTGGCAGCGTGAAAACATACTGGGACTATACCTTAGCCAAGTGAACTGTAAAAATAATCATGAATTTTACACCCGTAGGTATTTTATTTTATTTTGTTCTGAATTGCTTAAAATATACTGTGAAATAAAATAATTGGTAGATTATTTACCGGCTTTGAAATGTATGCATATTACATTTTGTGTTAGTATTTTGTTACATTATGCCCTAACAGGATTGAATATTTGTTTCATTTTTATAATGTATTAATATGTAAAAAAAGTAAAGTTAATATATCCAATATACGGACTCCTTATCACCTACTCTGAGGTACACTCGAATTCTTGTCCTGCCCCAATAAGTGTTGGCGGACTGAACTTCACATGTATTCAAGAGATTTTATTATTTCCCAGACATGGGGGCTTCCTCACAATGTTTTCCTCGCGGCCGAGCACGTGGTAAATGAGAATTTAAAATTGCAATTAATAAGTTTTTTAAGTTTGAGTGGCTAAAGTTGCTATGTGTATGATGTGGAACAGACTCCGAGAATAAGTTCAGCTATAAATCACATTTTGCGTATCTAATGTTACAAATTAGCTATAATTATTCTTTAAAGGCAGACTTGGAAGGTTACGTACTCGTCATACTTCTTGTCGTCACGTATACATCAAAACTTAAAAAAGAATTGTGTTATGTGAACAACCAGTGCGTTTTGCTTTTGTCAGTGATGACTTATGGATCTGAGACGTGGTCTTTCACTGCAAACCGTATAAGGAAGCTTTGCCTGGAGTTTCTCTACGTGATAGACTTAAAAATTACGATATCCGCTGTAGAACCAGAGTAACCGATATAGCCCAACGGATTAGTAAGCTGAAGGGGCAATGGGCCATATAGCTTGAAGAACCGACAACCGATGGAGAAGAAAGGTTCCCGAGCGGCAGCCTCGTACCGGTAGATGAAGTGTAGGGCGTCCCCCTAGATGGAGTGATGACCTGGTAGAACACGCGAAAAGTCAATGGATGCAGGTGGCTCAGGAACGTGCTTTGTGGCATTCCTTGGGGGAGGCCTATGTTCAGCAGTGGACTTGTGAAGGGCCATAATAATGATGATGATGATGATCTGTTTCATCTTTCACGATGTTTTCGTCACACGGAATGGTAAAAAATTATCATAATTCAAGACCTGGACACCAACTATTATTACGCGTACTGGTACTTTGGTTTTTAATCCGTTCAGACCTAGTTAAAATGCCATTTAGCGTTTGATTTAAACTTCGCTATATGATTTTCGTGACATAAATGGTAGTTAGGGTATGTAGCAGGGTATTTTTCCAATATCGATTAAATAATCGTAGCATACAATTAAAGTGGAAAACTTGAGATTTTATAGGTCGGTCTTATAGGAATCACGACAGGCATCATGATTATGTGCTTTGAACAAACTGATTGTCCACCTGATGGTTAGTGGCTGCTAAAAATTATGTCACATGACTAATATCTAATTTTGTACCGGATTTAAACCCCGGATCAAATGGTCAGTAATCGCACTTACAACCACTTGACCATCCACTTGGCAGTCAGAAGAGAAATTGCACATGGATAAACTGGACACATACATATACACATTTAAATAATACTAGTTTTTACGGATTTTATATATATACCCGACGTTTCGAGCACTTTACAGCACCCATGGACACCAGGTTGGACTGAGATGTTCAACGTCCAGATGTCATAGTTAACCGCGGTTACCATAGATTAAAATATTTTTTTAAATGTTTGGATTTTGTTCCGATCTACGCAGTTTTATTTAAATGTGTAGTGTTCGCGTAAATACACATACACGTATATACACGCACACGCACAAATAAATATTAAGTTTTTTTAAATATACATATCACCTTTTATCTCATTGCATTATTTAGTTATTGCTCAAACACATCATTTATCATTTTTTTATCATTTTCATAAAACGTTACCCCTACACTAGGATTTTCTCCTGTATCGTGGGGGCAGTTTACAAACATAAATTTCACAAGGAACAACATCCAAACCCGGAACAATTACTTGTAGGCCATACAAATACTTGTTCCGTGCGGGATTCGAACCCGCGACTCCCAGCGCAGTCACTCATTGCTAAGCCACTGCGCCACGAAGTCGTCAATTATATCAATATCATTCTTTCATATTTTTACGTTGTCATCCAATTACGAGCTACGGTTAAAATTTAAAGTTTTTATCTTATCGGGAAGTTAGTTAATCAATTACTAAATTCGATCCGAACGGATAGTCGAAAGCGATTTAAAAAAGTGGTAAAAAGGAAGAATTAGTCTGCAAACTGAGTGACGTGCAACGTGAACGACGTTCGGCGCGTGGGAAAAGCGCAGTGCTCACTACTAAATGACGGCTGCTCAAAAAGTATGCCGAAAGCGCCGCTACGTCCAACGCCCCGCCGAACGCTGTATACTCTCATAGCTAATTTAAGAGATCTTAAATTAGCTATCGCTAATAAGAATGCTAAGCAGGCAGCGTTTAACACGATGAAGTCAATGGTGGCCATGGCGATTGTTATGTCGGCAATGTTAATTCAAGCATTCAATGTTATTTTGATAAGAGCGTTGTCAGCGGAATACTCAATCAGAACGCAGGTTGAGGAAATTGTACCAGTTTGTTCCTCTTAAGGTCGTGAGTCACTGTTACTATAGGATTTTATACTGATATTTATACTGGTACTATAGGATTTTACTCGCGAGATACTTTTTTAAAATGATCTATACATATAAATACAATTGAAGTGTCTGTCTTTAAAGCCGGCAATAAATTTTAGCCAAGCCTCAGCCAACGCGAGCGTAGGCAAATTGATACAAGGCGAGTGCTACAGTCTAGATGTTGGCCAAGGTTGAACTAGCGAACTGTTCGACACTGTTCCGACACCTGTTCCGACACTGTTCCGAAGTAAGACGAGTCGTGGCAAGCGATCCCGAGTGGTGGCACGCCAAACGAACATATGGTTTGTACGTACACGTAGGCGCTTGCCTGCACTGGGGCAGCTAGGCGAGCGACGACGAGTAATGGCTAGGCTAGACAAGTAGGCTATACGTTGGTACTCGCCTTCGCTCGGCCAACATGTATAGCCGGCATAATATGAAATATCTGGCTTCTATTATGCTCAGGGGTTACTTGTATGCTATTAAGATATAAATAGCTAATTTTAAAAATTTTGTCTGTCCAGGCTAATCTTCGAATTGGCTGAACCGATTGTGATGAAACTGTACTTGTGTGTGTGTACTGTAGATAGAGGGCATGTCAGAAGGGATTAAGCTACATCTAATCCAAAATACTTATTATTTTTTTGGAAAAAGTAGAAATTGAGAAAATGAATGCTTTTTGATAATCTTATATCTGAACAGGGGGGGGGGAGTGGCAAAAGAGCATGCGGCTCACGATAGTAAGTGACTACCGCTCATGAACAACTGCCACACGACATTAATAGATTCTATCCAGACGAAGCCTGGGCAGACTGCTAGTTGCAAAGTATAGTTGAGCTTTTGAAAGACTTAAAATTATTTTTGCATAATATTACTGCTAAACTAGAAATTTCGCTGATTAGTTACGCAGGCATTTAAGATTTTACATAAATTGCAAATAAACTAGTAACAGAGTTTCGTGGTCAGTTATCCATGAACGTTATTTTTCACATACTGTGTTATCACTTATCAGTTATCATCGATAGCTCTTTATGTCATCAATCGATATGGAGTACTAATTTAGAAGTACTATTCTGATTTAATGTGTTTTATGTCCCGTTTTTATTTAGAAGTTATAACTACTTGATGTATAACTAAAATCAAATACTTATTTATGGAATCACTTTGTGTGTTTGTTTGTCACACAAGATTTTGTATAAAAGAAAGTATTTCCCACAGATCCCGGAAATTCTGCAGTCATACCAATAAAGAAATGATATTTTAAATTCGAATATGCGCCGTAAGTGATTATTTTAAGGAAGCTAAATGGGAAGTTGGAATCTTTATTTTGTGAGATCATTATATCAATCAAATAAATTTGCTTAAAATTTTCCGAGAGCAAAATACGATTCAAAATTTCAGATCACCAGCGTTTGCAGTGTCTGAGAAAATCCGAAAAAATATAATAAACTAGCGGTCCGCCCCGGCTTCACACGGGTGATTTCTGGATCTCGACAACGGGCCATCTACCGGATCCATCTGAATTTTAAACCATCCAGAGACCCACTCAAATATACACATAAAATTCATCAAAATCGGTCGAGCAATTTTCGAGTTTAATGGACAGCAATGGATTTTTATAAGTTGAAAATTGTAAATATTATGTTAATCATAGAATACTATAATACACAATAGAATGGCTGTCAACGTTATTTTGTACGACGATAAGCGTCGCCGGGAGCACACATACAAGCAATTACGTCGTATTATCAGTTAATCACTACTACAAACCCGATTCGCTGTGTTGACAGACGGATTTTAATACATATTTATTTGTAAATAGCGTGCAATTTGGCATTTTCTAAATTATTTGCATGCGAAATTTGGAAACGATTGTAACGTCAAAACACATCTCGTGTTGACATTTATACGTGTGAATTGACGTCTTGTGGCATTTTAGTGGCTACACGGGCTCCGCCCACACCACAGTTCTATTATGTATGTATTATAATATTCTATGATATTAACATTAGTTGAAAGACATAATTTGTTTATTTACGGGTCTGACGGTGGTTTAATCCAATTATCGGTATTGCATACCTATCTCTGCTTTATTTTCAACATTAGGCGTAGGTAGGGTTGTCAGGTCTTAAAACTCATTAAAACTGAAAAGCCGGAGAGACCAGCCAGTTTAGCCGGACATTTTGGTAAAAAGACCGGACACGCTTCGATACGATATTTTTTAAAAGTAAAACAATGCTTTTTGTCATTTGCCATAAAATCTTCTTAAATTCTAATGAAATAACAATAAAATTGAATGAATCAGTCTTTATATTAATCACTCAATATTCATTACAATATTAGCAGTTTTGCAATAGTGTGTAAATATGTAAGAACA